GGTCACTGACAGGTGACCGCCCCACGGAGCCTGGGGCGTCAGCAGGACGCAGCGGCATCCCCCGCAGGAGTGCCCTGGGCACACGCACCTGCAGCGCATGTCTCCTGAGGAGGCCACAAGGCTCCCTGACCTGGTCTGGACGCACATGCTGCCCGCCTGCCCTGCTCGCTGCCTGCCGGTGGCTGGGGAAGGCCGCGCTGCAGAGGCGGTGGCACCACCCCAGGGGGGTTTGGGGACAGGTGGGCCCGGTGGGAACAGTAGTCAGGAGGCTGACCTCGTAGGAAGGCCCCAGGGGCTCGCCTAGAGACTTCCCTGAGCAGTCCACTTCTCACTCTCCGTCTCTGTCTCTGTCTCTTTGGCCGTGCTACAGCAAAAACCTGGAGACAGAAAAGTACGAGGAAGTGAAGCGCGATTTCCTTTGCTGTGGAAGCTTGAGCTCGGCCCCTCCGTTTTCCTGACGGGTCTTCCCCACTGGCTCCTGAGGACCCCCTTGTGGTTGACAACCGAAGCCTCAGGCTTTCGTTAATAGCAGCGAGATTTATCTTTCTTTCTCCCTTCCTTCTTTTCTTCTTTCTTTCTTTCAAGTTTTTGCCTTTAGGGCGCATATGCTGGCTGGAGAGACTGACAGCGAGAGGGGAAGTGAGAAATCACCCCCTGGGGGATGACAAGCCACAACCCCTTCTCCTCCACTCCCCTCCCAGGATCTTGGGCACGCACACACACGCACCTGGCCTGGGTCTGGGACTCGAACTGTGGTTGGCCACGTGGGAGCACAGGATGTAACCATTACGCCGTCTGTGGCTCCAGCCCGCAGTTCATTAGGGCTCCCCTACTGAGCCCCGCCAGTGCATCAGCTGAGCAGCGAAGAGGCAGATTCCATGGCAACCCACGAAGACCGACTCCAGACCAGACAGCTGGGCCAGACGCGCAGTGCCCTGTGCCTAGACCCTGAGCATGGCCGGGCTCAGCTCTGGCTCCGCAGAGGCTGCCGCGCCATGCTGGCCTTTGTGATTTCACCACCTGGTCCCCTTGCTCTAGCGGGCCAAGTCCTGCCCACTCGGAGGCTGGCGTTCTTTGGTGTGTCTGTGGGACTGTACTTGTGCAGACGTGACGTGGCATGTGCTCCATGTGGCACCACACCCATGCGCTTCACCTGTGTCTCGAGGGGCTTTGGTCGTGGCACCGTTTGCCCTGCCACTGTGGCCTCGCGTGTGGACTGAGCCCAGGAGGGCACGAGGAGTGGGTGGGCGGCGCCCTGTCCGTGGCCAGGGGTGCTGGGGCGTCCGGGTGCTCTGAGGTGCTGGCTGTCTGTGGGGCTAACAGTGGTGATGGGGCAGCAGGGCAGGGCAGAGGGGCTAGCGTCTAAGCTGGGCAGCTCCCAGCCCCACGGCTGAGAGCCGCGGGTGGCCGTTTGGGAAGAGGGAAGGCGCTTTTTGATTCTGAATCACTACTGGGACTGCTCGCTCCCGTGACTCGCAGGTTCACCCAACTCTAGGCACTAACTGGCCTATCCCGTGGTTCGCACGTATGCTCCCCCAACGGGGCATGGTCCTGTCACGGTCCCTCCTCCACCCCTCTCCTGGCAGGGTTTGGGGTACACACACATGGGCACAGTGTGGTTCCCAAGTTTCTGGGGCCAGGATTTGAACCGTGGCCGGCCACGTGGGATCCAGCTCCTTTAACCACACAGCCGGCCGGCGGATGGCCTCTAGCATGGGAGTTAGGCCCGAGGCCTAGAAAGGGCTGTGCTCAGAGTGCAGGGTGTGGGGACACAGCCATGGCGGTGAGCCACGCTCCTGGACCAGCTGTCAACAGTGTTCCTCTGTGTCCTAGGTCCGGACGCTCT